CAGACAGGCCCCCTCCCTCTCGGTTTTCAAGTCCCGTTTAAAAACTTAAAAAAATCTCCTCTGTGGTGCACACTGCTCTCACCAACCTGGAGCAGAAGGACTCTTACGTCCATATGCTCTTTGTGGACTTCACATCTGCCTTCAACACCATGATCCCCCAAACCCTGATAGTAAAGCCACTCACACTAGGACTAAGCCCCTTCATTTGCAACTGCGTCCTGGACTTCTTAACAAACAGACCACAGTCAGTGAGGATCCACAACTTCTCCTCCTCCACCATAACCCTCATCATTGGCTCCCCTCAGGGATGTGTGTTGAGCCCTCTCTTGTTTACTCTGCTCACATATGATTGTGCATCTACCCATCCAGGCTGTCATATTGTAAAGTTTGCAGATGATACAGTGGTGGTGGGATGCATCACAAACAATGATGAGTCCAGCTAAAGGCAGGATGTGGAACATCTGAAGAGTTAGTGCAGGAAGAACAACCTTCACATCAATGTGAAGAAGATGCAGGAGATGATATGTTGACTTCAGACAATACAAACATCCACACCTCCCCCAAACATAGGAGGATCTGTGGTGGAAGTGGTCTCCAGCTACAAGTACTTGGGTGTACACATGAACAACAACCTCAGCTGGAGCAACAACAAAACCAGCCTGATGAAGAAAGCTCATCAGAGACTCTACTTCCTCAGGCGGCTGAGACAAGCTGGTCTGGAAGCTCAGTCCTCACCTCCTTCTACAGGTGTGCAGTGGAGAGCATCCTGTGCTCCAGCATCAACGTGTGGCATGGAGGCTGCACAGCTGCAGAAAGAAAAGCTTTGCAGAGAGTGGTGAAGGCTGCACAGAAGATGTTGGAGTCAGTCTCCCCACCATCACAGACATCTACACCTCCAGATGCAGGAAGAGGGCCACCTGCATCATGAAGGACCACACTCACCCAGCACACACACTTTTTGTCCCACTCCCCTCAGGAAGGAGGTTGACGAGCATTAAAGCCCCCAGTATACTCCCGCGTACGTCCGTTCACGCGTACGTACACGTGTACTGTATGCAGAGCGTTCAGACATGATACTCCAGCGTATAGCCAGAGCAGCTGCAGAGCAGCTTCACAGACAAGGGGCGTTTACCATTGGGACAAATGGAGGTCGCCGATTGGTCATTTGCTGACACGCCTATTGGATTGATTGACATGGGGGGGGGGGGGGACGAGCGCTGGCAGCCTCTACCACAGTGGTGTTCTGTGTTTATATGTTAATAAAAAGATCTAAAAATAACAGGGAGCACTGGCCCTGCAGCCCACACATCAGACCAGCCCACACATCAGACCAGCCCACAAGGAAATCTCCAGACCCTCCCGCAGCCACGCTGGACCTGAGTTTAATTCGTTCGTGACAAATTCCTTCATTTCTCACCATTTCAGTCATGGCATCAACGGAGGAGGAAAAGATCACTGCCTCTTGGCAAAAAAAAAACAAAAGAAAAGGCCAGATCAGGGATGAAGAAGGGGAATTTAATACATTGGTGTCGCATACAAAACAGTCCGTCGCTGGGCAGTTTATTGTGCAACACCACATACGCGTATGCAGTCGTAAAAATGTTAGCTTTGCACGGACATGCCCTGGGGGGTACGCTCGTACCTCCGCGTACGTAAGTGCGTACCTCTGCGTATGGACGTACGCGGCAGTATAATGGGGGCTTAAGTGTAGAACCACTAGACTGAGGAACATCTTCTACCCTGAGGCTGTTAGACTCATGAATCTCTAACCAGGAGAATCACTGTGAAAAATCACATGTTGCTACTGATCTGTTTCATGTTGCTGCTGATCTGTTTCATGTTGCTGCTGATCTGTTTCATGTTGCTACTGATCTGTTTCATGTTGCTGCTGATCTGTTTCATGTTGCTGCTGATCTGTTTCATGTTGACGTGTTCCTTCGTGCTCATCTGCTCACACAGACTCGTGTTTGTGCTGCTGTTCGGCGTAATGTTTTTGTACTATTAATGCTTAGTGTATTTTTAGTTGATGTTTTCTTACTTCATATCTTAGATGTTATTACTGTTTTAATTTTACATTTTATTGTTGGATGTAACTGGGACCCTGTGAACATAATTTTGTTCCACCTCATGTACCACATGTGGTGTGTATGACAAATAAAGAAACTCTGACTTTGACTTTGAAAAGTTCCTGAAGTACAGGAAACCTCTGAATGTTCCTTTTTGTCTCCAGTTTGGTCCGGTCCATTGTCCCCAGTGTGACGCTCTACACCACAGGGTCTCTGACAATGGGTGAGTACCAGGTCCAGACCCAGAACACAGAGTCCGGCTGTTAATGACTGTAAACAACAGAAAAATTTGCACTGAAAAAGTTTTCATCAGCCGAAGTTTCTCGACCCCCTGAGTCCAGATCAGACTTTGGATCAGGACCAGAACTGGGGTCCACCATCTAAAGACCAGTTTTTATGACAGCTTCCATAAAGACAAGACCAGTTTGTCCCTGACTGAATTTCCACTGCAGTCAGGACTGGGTTGTGTACACTGTGCGCAATCACTTCTGTTTACATCCATCCATCAGAATATGGTCACAAATCGTAGAGAGACAGACAGATGGATAAACAGACAGAGAGAGACAGACAGACGGATGGATAAACGGACAGAGAGACAGACAGACGCACACAGAGAGAGACACACAGAGAGAGAGATAGAGAGAGAGAGACAGACGGTTAGAGAGACAAGACTGAGAAATAGATAGACAGATGGATAAACAGAGACAGACGGATAAACAGCAGTGTTTCCCCTACCATTATAGAAGCGGGGCGCCCCGCCCACCTAACCCCACCCCCACCACCTGTCGGCATTCACATAGCACTAAACTAGTGGCTCGCTCAGGTGCGCTAGCTAAAAAGCTAAAGGCAGACTTCTTTCATGCTGAACCCACCTCACACTCAAAAACTGTTGGTACAAAGAGCGCACAGCTCTGCCCCCCCCCCCCCCCCCCCAAATAATCTAGCGGTACAGACGGCGTGCAGCTGAGATGTGTCTCTGTCTCCACCCCCCACACAGTCAGTATAAACAGTGTGCTGTATAGCTCAGGACGTGTCTCCGTCCATGTGTGTGTGTGTGTGTGTGTCCCCCCACCTCCCACCCCCGGACAAAAATCATGAACGAGATGAGCGTGCCTCCATGGCAAGTTATCTAGGGGAAACACTGAACAGACACACGGATAAACAGAGAGAAAGACATAAACAGAGAGTCTCTGTGCCATTAGCATACTTGATGATGGTGTCTTCAACATACTGGATGCTGGTGTCTTCAATTTACTGGATGATGATGGTGTCATCAGCATACTGGATGATGATGGTGTCATCAGCATACTGGATGATTGTGTCTTCAGCGTACTGGATGATGATGTCATTAGCATACTTGATGATGGTGTCTTCAACGTAGGTGGGGAGTGGTGGTGCAGGTTAGAGGTTAGAGAAGATGGTCCTGTGATCAGAAAGTCACAGGTTCACCTCCCGGGACCGTCAACATCAAAATGTGGGTTGAAAAGGTGAAACATCCACACCTGCCTCCACCCTCATTCGCCCCACTCTGGGCCCCTGAGCAAGGCCCTTAACCCCCACCATCTGCTCCCTAAACAGGTCTCTCTTGAAAATGAGTTCTCGTGGCTCAATGAGACTACCTAGATAAATAAAGGGTAAATGAAAAAAAAAATGGTGTCATCAGCATACTGGATGATTGTGTCTTCAGCGTACTGGATGATTGTGTCTTCAGCGTACTGGATGATGATGTCATTACCATACTGGATGATGATGTCTTTAGCGTACTGAATGGTGGTGTCTTTAGCGTACTGAATGATGGTGTCTTTAGCGTACTGAATTATGGTGTCTTTAGCGTACTGAATGATGGTGTTTTCAGCATACTGGATGATGATGTCTTCAGTGTACTGGATGATGATGCCTTCAGCATACTGGATGATGGTGTCATTAGCATACTGGATGATGGTGTCGTCAGCATACTGGATGATGGTGTCATTACCATACTGGATGATGGTGTCATCAGCGTACTGGATGATGGTGTCTTCAGCATACTGGATGATGGCGTCATCAGCGTACTGGATGATGGTGTCATCAGCGTACTGAATGATGGTGTCATCAGCATACTGGATGATGGTGTCATTAGCATAGTGGATGAACATACTTGATGATGATAGTGTCATCAGCATACAGGATGATATGTCATCAGCATACTTGATGGTGTCGGCAGCATACTTGATGGTGTCATCAGCGTACTGGATGATGGTGTCATCAGCGTACTGGATGATGGTGTCATCAGTGTACTAGATGATTGTGTCATCAGTGTACTGGATGATGGTGTCATCAGTGTACTGGACGATGGTATCATCAGCGTACCGGACGATGGTGTCATCAGCGTACTGGACGATGGTGTCATCAGCGTACTTGACGATGGTGTCATCAATGTACTTGATGATGGTGTCATTAGCATAGTGGATGATCATACGTTATGATAATAGTGTCATCAGCATACAGGACGACATGTCATCAGCATACTTGATGGTGCCATCAGCATACTGGATGATTGTGTCTTCAACGTACTGGATGATGGTGTCGTCAGTGTACTGGATAATAGTGTCCTTAGTGTACTGGATAATGATGGTGTCATCAGTGTACTGGATGATGGTGTCATCAGTGTATTGGATGATGGTATCATCAGCGTACTGGATGATGGTGTCATCAGTGTACTGGACGATGGTGTCATCAGTGTACTGGACAATGGTGTCATTAGCGTACTGGATGATGGTGTCATCAGCGTACTGGATGATGGTGTCATTAGCATAGTGGATGATCATACTTGATGATGATGGTGTCATCTGCATACAGGATGATATGTCATTAGCATTCGTGATGGTTTCATCAGCATACTGGATGATTGTGTCTTCAACGTACTGGATGATGGTGCATACAGTGTACTGGATAATGGTGGTGTCAGCAGCATACTTGATGATGGTGTCATCAGTGTACTAGTTGATGATGTCATCAGTGTACTGGCTAATGGTGTCCTTAGTGTACTGGATAATGATGGTGTCATCAGTGTACTGGATGATAGTGTCCTCAGCATATTGGATGATGGTGTCATCAGTGTACTGGATGATGGTGTCATCAGTGTAATGGATGATAGTGTCCTCAGCGTACTGGATGATGGTGTCTTCAGCGTACTGGACAATGGTCTAGTCAAGGTGGTTGCTGATGCAGTCATGTACAGATTTTAGAGCAGAGGACTCATTACACAGCCCTGTGGTGCACCAGTGCTGAGGCTGAGGGCTGTGAAGATATGAGGACTGATTCTGATTATCTGTACTTGGTCAGAGAGGAAGTGTCTGATCTATCTTCAGGTGGTGCGTCTAGTAGTTTTGCTGTCCGTTTGTCTTTAAGTATGGTATTAAAAGCAGAGCTAAATTCAACAAAGGGCAGCCTAACATAGCATCTCCCACATGGAACAGCAGGAATACTATGTCAAAATGAAGAGCTTTAACAATGGTGTCCTTTTTTGATCTGTTAGCTCTGTATGAAAGCTGAAATGGATCCAACGTAAACAGCAGGCAGGACATGATGTGGCGATGCACTAATTTCATAACCACTGTGGCTACTGGCCTGTAGTCACTGAGGCTGCTAATGTTTGTGTTTTGGGGCAATAGGACCATTATAGCCAACTTCAGGCATGGTGGGAGGAATCACTAGGACAATGATGCATTAAAGATCTTAGTGAAGACCCCAGTCAGCTGGTCGTAGGACCTTCCGAGTCACTCCATCTGGTCCAGCAGCTTTTCTGGGGTTCATCACCCTCAGCCCCCCTCAGCTCTTGTTCCTGCACTCTGAGGTTACAGTTCCTGTAGTCAGTAGAGTCACGGCTACCTCAGAGGGCCTTTAATTTTGCACTGTGCAAAAAAGTGGTTCATCTCCTCCACACGTGCAGCATTTCCCTCTGTCGTCGTTGTGTTGCTGGACTTGTAGTGGGTGAGATGCTAGAGTCCCTGCCACGCCTGCTGCATGTTGTTGCTGTTCTATCGTCCTCTTGTACTCTGTCTTGGCTTCTCTGAGGCTTCTCTTCTGTTCATCTCTGGCCACATTGTACTGCACTCTGTCTCCAGACCTGAGAGGCATTGCATTGCCTCAGCTGTGACCTGGACCTCTTTAGGTGTGTTTCCATTCCTCTGATTGGTTCATTCAGAGTTTGGGTGCATTTCCAGGTGCGACAGTGGAGGAGTTTGAGCAGGCGAAGAACAAATTGTCAAGTCTAAAGAAAGACCCGGGGAATGAGGTCAAACTGAAGATCTACGCTCTCTTTAAGCAGGTGAAGACCACAGATGAATTGGGGGAAAAAAACTCTCAGAAATATTCACCAACTCCTCTTCCTCCTCCTCCAGGCCACTCAGGGTCCCTGCAGCACCCCCAAACCAGGGATGCTGGACTTTGTGAACAAGGCCAAATGGGACGCCTGGAAGTCTCTGGGCTCCACCTCTCAGGTCTGAGCATCTCACTATCCTCTACTGTTTGACCTGAACCCGTTCTGCTGCTGAGAAACGCTCATTTCTGTCAGGATGAAGCTCGGCAACAGTACTGCGACCTGATTGGCTCCCTGCTGGAAGCAGAGGGAGGAAGCTCCGCCCAGGTGGCTGTGACGCCCGCCGGTGGAGGGACGTACGAGACGCTGATGGTCACTACAGAGGACAACATCACTACCATCAAACTGAACCGACCAGCCAAGAAAAACGCCATCACAACGGAGGTCAGTTTGAGATTTTCAAAATAAAACAGGAAGTCAGGACGTCTCTTGTGTTTGGTCATCTGTTTGTTCCTTCAGCTCCTGCTTAAATTTAATCTGCTTTCAGATGTACAACGAGATCATCGCAGCTCTGGAGCAGGCAGCTAAAGACGACTCTGTCCTCACCGTTTTCACTGGTAACACCGTGTTCCAGGTGTCAGGTCTGACCAGGGTCCAGGTCTGACCAGGGTCCAGGTCTGAGATCATGGTCCAGGTTTGACCAGGGTCCTGGTCTGACCTGTGTCCATGTCAGACTAGGGTCCAGGTCTGACCTGGGTCCGGGTCTGACCTAGGTCCGGGTCTGACCATGGTCCAGGTCTGACTAGGGTCCAGGTCTAACCAGGGTGCAGGTCTAACCAGGGTCCAGGTCTAATCAGTGTCCAGTTCTGACCTGGGTCCAGGTCTAATCAGTGGCAGGTCTAATCAGTATCCAGGTCTGACCTTGGTCCAAGTCTGACCTTGGTCCAGGTCTGACCACGGTCTAGATCTGATCAGGGTCCAGATCTGACCAGGGTCCAGGTCTGACTGTGGTCCAGGTCTGACTGTGGTCCAGGTCTGATCAGGGTCCAGGTCTGACCAGGGTCCAGGTCTGACCAGGGTCCAGGTCCTACTGGTTCCTCAGTGTAACCGTGGTTCCTCCTGCAGGAGCTGGAGATTATTACTGCAGCGGGAACGACCTCACAAACTTCACCAAGATCCCAGAGGGCGGGGTGGAGGCCATGGCCCAACGTGGAGCAGACCTGCTCAGGTGATGGACGGGTTGGAGGGCTAATTAGGGACATAACCCGGAGACAATGTGTCCTGCTGTCCTACAGTTACTGATGGATTCAAACCAACTTTATTTATAAAGTTTAAACAACCAGAGTTGACCAGAGGTGATGGACAATACATCCAAAAACATGAAAACTGTTAAATCTTTAAAAACTTTAAAGAATACATCAAATTTAAATCCTAAAACTGTTTAATTAATAAAAATGTCCACAGCATTAATGACATTTGAACACCAAGAATGAAAACAGCTAATTGACAAGGGTCTTCTGTCACATCGGGTCCTGACCTGAGCCCTGATGGGACTTTATGAAACAGAAGTGGACCACTGTAAAAGACTCGTGAACACGGCCCTGGAAGCAGAACTGTGATTTCTATAGACACCCCGGTAAAACCATGGGACTAACATGATCTGAAGCAGGACAGAAATGTGTTAGAAGAAACCAGTTTAGAAGTCAAACATGGCCCTCGTACATTAATGTTTTCGTTTTACTTCCTCTTCGACAGGATGTACGTGCGGGCCTACATCGACTTCCCCAAGCCACTGGTCGCCGTGGTGAACGGCCCAGCGGTCGGAGTGTCCGTCACTGTGTTGGGACTCTTCGATCTGGTCTACGCCACAGAGAGGGTACACACACCACAAACACACTGTGGACTGTAGTTCCCAGTCCAGGTCTCTGACCTGGGTCTGTGGTATGAACCAGAGGAGTCCAGTCTCTGCTCAGTGAAGTATCGTGTGAAGCTTCATGAGCTCAGAATCGGTCACTGCTGATGTTTGTTGATGAAGCAGCGTCTCTCTGCGTCGCAGGCCACTTTCCACACCCCCTTCACCCAGCTGGGTCAGAGCGCCGAGGGCTGCTCCTCCTACATCTTCCCCAAACTTATGGGCGCCGCCAAGGTACGCAGAGACCGCCTGCTGGTCAGAGCCACCGCTGAGTGTCCGTCTTGAACCGTTGTGTGTCTGCAGGCCAGTGAGATGCTGCTGTTCAATAAGAAGCTGACGGCGGTCCAGGCCTGTCAACTGGGTCTGGTCACCGAGGTGTTCCCCGATAACAGCTTCCAGTCCGAGGTCTGGACCAGACTGAAGGCCTACGCCGAGCTGCCTCGCAACGTAAACTCACAGAATACGTCTCCACGTCACGTGAACATACATGTAGCGTGTTTACCGCAACGTGGTTATCAGTCTTTCTTCACATCTGCCTGGTGACGCTTGTCCTCTCTGTGTCTCTGTCAGTCTCTGGCTCTGTCCAAACAACTGGTCCGCTCCGTGGACAAGGAGCGTCTGTACGCCGTGAACGACGCAGAGGTGCAGCGTCTGATGGAGCGCTGGACGTCTGATGAGTGCTTCAACGCCGTCATGAGCTTCTTCCAGGCCAAGGCCAGGCTCTGATGGAGCCCCAGGAGCCACGCGTGGACATGTCCTCCAACATCATGCGTGGACATGTCCTCTAACATGTCCTCCAACATCAAGCATGGACATGTCCTCCAACATCAACCATGGACATGTCCTCCAACATCAAGCGTGGACATGTCCTCCAACATCAA